TGGTGCAGGGGCTGGTCAGATATCAAGTGCTGAGAGTGGATTTTTGGTCCTCTGTGCAGCTCAGAGCAAAGAAATAACACAAGAAAGTCGCCATTTTAACACAAAAACAGCATTTCCATTGTTGGTAGCTGTAGTATGTTGTTAAAATGCCCTTTTAAACCCAACATATTCACATGATAACTACAAATAAACTTAAATCTACAGTGCTGCTGGCACAGGATGATGATTCATACCAACGGATGAATTTAATCTTCAAGAAAGTTTGTAGTCAGTGAGAAGAAACAGGTCAAGTATAAAGAAACAAATGGAACATTCTGCAGCCTTTATATACCCTCGGCTGCTCCTTGGTTAAGTGCATGTGATAGAACTATACGAATGAAGTTAATTTATGGTAATTTATAGTTACTCCTTCTTACTGCCAATAATCTGTGCACTTTCAGGTGAGCTCTTTGTTCCCTCTGTACAATACCACCTTCACCTTCATAGCACCTTAGAGTATTCTGACTGGCTGCATCACCACCTGGTACGGCAGCTGTAATTCTCTGGACCGCAAAGCTCTGCAGAGGGTGGTGAGATCAGCACAGCGCATCACCAGGACTGAACTGCCAGCCCTGCAGGATCTCTACAGGCAGCGCTGCATGAAGAAGACACAGCGGATCCTCTTTGATCCCAGCCACCCCAGCCACAGACTTTTCACATTCCTGCTGTCCAGCAGGAAGTTCAGGAGCATTCAGACCCGCACTACCAGACATAGAGAAAGCTTTTACCCACAAGCCATCAGGCATTTGAACTGCTGACATTCTATACACACCATTACACACTCACTACAATTACAGGACTCTACACACTGTCACTTCAACTAATGCCACTTAAATGCTCGTTGCACAAGATCTGCACAAACTGTAAATACCAACTTGTCTGAAATTCTCTAAATATTTTATACTATTTTTCTCTCTTTATCATTATTATTACTGATATTTCCTGTTAATTTCTTCTTAATTGAACACTTTCTATATGCTCATGTAAAGCAGAGGAGCACGAGCCAAAGAATTTCATTATGGGTAAATGTGGCTACACTGTTTATCTGTACATAACAATAAAACTGTCATGGTCCTGGGTCATTTTGACCCAGCGTTTTGTGTTTCCTGAAGTTTGGTGTATATTCAGCCCTACCTGTGTCTGTCCTCGGTGCTCTGTTCATGTCCTCGTGTTGTTATGTAAAACAGTCTGTGTGTTTCCTGTTTTACTTTGTAGGGTTGTGTCTCGTTATGTCCATTAGTTCCAGCTGTGTCCCCGCCTGTCTGCCATTACCCGATTACCGTGTGTGTGTGTGTATATATAGTGGGTGTCGGTCTGTGTTCGTTGTCGGCTCATTTGTGTTTCATGGTGTCCTGTTCCTCGTCTGCGTCTCGCTGTCTCCCACCCCATTCGTATGATCTCAGGTTTGTTATTTAGCTCACCCAGTTTAGGTTTATGTTCTGTCCTGCCCTCAGTTCTGTTATTTGTGCACTGTAAATAAAACCCACTTGCACCTCCGCCACTGCCTGCATTTTGGGTCCTCCTTTTCCTCCACACCACACGGCTCACCCCGCCAGCCGTGACA